GGGGGGCGGGGGCGGGCCTGGCCTCGCCTCGCGGGAGGATTTTTTTTTTGGTCCGATTGTTTTTTGTTTCACCGCTTGGGAGCGGCCTGGCTTTTGGGGGGGATCTTAAACATCGAGCTGCTGCGGGGTGTGCTGCCCGCTCCTGTCGCAGGTCAGAAATGATTTAGCCGACAAGTTTTGAGAAAAAAAAATTCGAGATGCGGGTTTTTATCTTGGTAGAAGGCAGAATTCCTCTTCAGGGCACTATTGCTTTTCTCTTGCTGTAGGTTCTTACTGTTTCCAAAGTTGGAACCGTTGTATAGGATTCTCTTCCCAGTTAAAGAGTTACTTTGTGTAATTAAGTCATTAATTCTGTTGCAGGAGATGCTAAAACGGAACAAAAACCCGGTGAGAAAAAGAGGGGAGTGAAGAGACCACGTGAAGACCATGGCCGTGGATATTTTGAATACATTGAAGAAAACAAATACAGCAGGTAAATAAACTTCTGGTGCTAGGTAGCGTTTTATGAATGAGAAGTAAGGTACAGAAATGCTAATTTTAACACTGAAAATACATCTAGCTTTAATCTTTGTTTGTTTGTCTGTTTCTTGTTTTGTTCAGGGCGAAGTCCCCTCAGCCACCTGTTGAAGAAGAAGATGAACATTTTGATGACACAGTGGTTTGTCTTGATACTTGTGAGTAAACATGCTTTCCTTTGTTTGGGAAAGATGTGGTGTGTGCTTTTAACCTAAAAACCACACTTGCTGAAGTGTGGGGTGAATACATTTGTTGACTTTCACTACCAAGTAATTAAAAAAAAATAGAAATAGTGTTTCCAGCCATTTCCAGAGTGCAAAAGAACAGAATTCTGTATGAATCTTTATATTAGCAGTAATAAGCTTGGTTTTCCCATGAAGTTTGTGATATATAATTTTCTGAAGAAATCTTAACCAAAACATTAACCCACTGTGGAAACTAAGCTGGTCAAGGGTAGAGTAAGAATAGAACACCCCAGAAACATAATGAAAAAATTACATAGCACATGAGCTTTTAACTTCATAGTAAAGTTCTAAGAGTCAGTAGTGTAGGTAGTTACAGTAGTGTAATTTATGAAGTGAGTTTCCTTCATAACTTGCTGAGGTCCTATTTAGGTACCAACCAGTGGAGTATTATTTTAATGTCTTCTGATAAATCTAACAAAAATCAGGTAAGGCTTCCTGAGAAATGACTGGGTCGTGCAGCCTGGGAGTTTGCAGGGCAGAGGGGTGATTTGTGCAAATGGGATGGCAGACAGAACTGGTCAGAAGGGCATAGAAATTGACAAGTACCTACAAACAGTGGGGTTTTTGAGGCAGATTGTACATGTTAAATGACTGTGATGTATTATGACTGGGCAAACTTAACATTTGTATTCTTGAGGGTAAGTATAAGAACTTAGTATTTAAAAGCTTCAGTAAGTGACGTTTGAACTTGTTGGGTTCTCAAAGTGCCGTGGAAGGAAAGCTTAAATTTTTGCATTACCTGGCATATTTGCTAGTAGTTGCAGGTGTTTTTTTCACAATAAATGTTTTGAAATGGAAGGAGATACTAATTTACAGCCATGTAAATTGCTGAATACACCATCCTTGACATTTTGGTAACTGAATCTCAAGTTTGTAGCTGCTAACCTGGTGAGTAGCCACCTTTGTGGGAGCTTCCCATTTTCCCAGTAACTGAGCAGTAGCTGCTTTTCATTGTTAGTGTTTATAATAGAAAGTTTGGATGAACTTTGCGATTTAAAGTATCAACAGACTGCTTCTGCTGGAGATCAGAATCAAACATAGCTTTAAGACTGAATTGTGTAACAACTTGGTGCTCTCTTTCTGGACCATGATGATCCAGACATACAAGAGGTTGAGCACTTTTCAAGTGCTTTTTATTACCTGTATCTTACAAAGAAGCTGTAACTTGAAATTCTGTTCTTATTTGTTGTTCTAAAAGTAACTTACACAGGTGGGTTTCTTCTGTATGGTTTTATCTGGTTTTCACGCAACAAATAAAAGTTAGAAGTGCTAACAAGAAAACACTTGGATCACAAATACTGTAGTTGCACCTGGGAATGGCTTTATGCAAACAAAACGGGATCTCCTGCATGAAAGTTAGCGGTAATACAGGGAAAACTGCATTTAGTGTAGTTGGGCAGCGTGCAGATTTTACACCAGGGCAGAACAGTTCACTGCTTGCTAATTTGCTCCTTTCTTGTAACTGTCAATTAGGTTTGGACTTCTGTGAATTCCTTGCTCTGGGGAATTCAGGTGCTCTATCCTGCACCGTGTGTTACCAGTTTGCATTTTCTTTTTGAAACATACTGGGAGATTAATTTGAAACTTCATGATGCTGAAGATGTCCATAAAACAAAGGTTCTGCCTGAGTTCTTAAACTGATAGGTGAATTCATAGCGCAGATCATGTTACTTAGCTGAAATAGGTTCTCTTAGCACTTTCTGTGTGCTTAACCTGTCTGCATTTGACTTAACTGACTTTATTTTGATTGACTTAATCTAATTGGACTTGCTGAGTAACTGTATTAACCAAAGACAGTACTACTTTCAGTACTTAAAAATACTCATGTTCCTATTTTACTTCTCAGCTGCCCTTAGGTTTGGACATGAGGGGTAAGAAGACTTTAAAAAAGGTATCCAGCAGATAATGCAAAGAGCACAATGCAGATTCCTCTGCTCTGTACTGATGGAAGTATCTTGGGTAACTGACCAAAAAGGTTTGAATAGATGAGATGAAATTGAAGTTTTTAAGCAGGTGAAAAAAACAGAAATAATTTGGTGACGGAAGTGAAGATGCACCTTGAAAATTATTTTTGTTAGCTAGCTTTTCTTTAGACTTTTGGCTGAGCTTCAGCCTGCAGCTCTATCTAGGCATGTGTTCAGTTACTTTCCTGGAAAGTGCTGAGCACTTGCTGGCAAATTACGTTGAAAATCACCTTTGAAAGCTGAAGTCGCCTTTAATGCGTAAAATTGGACAGCTGTACTTTGTTTTGTAATAAGAGTAAACAAAATGGTTTTTATGTTAACAGATAACTGTGACCTGCATTTTAAAATCTCAAGAGACCGGTTTAGTGCTTCCTCTTTGACCATGGAAAGCTTTGCTTTTCTTTGGGCTGGAGGGAGAGCCTCCTATGGAGTTTCTAAAGGCAAAGTCTGCTTTGAGATGAAGGTGAGTTAAACTGATATTTTATGGGAGACTGTTTTGCATGTTTAAATATAATATTGTTTCTACTTGTCAGGTTTTTTTTGTACTTAACTGAAACTGACTCTGGTGCATAGACCTTTCAGAAGGCCTTTTCTTATGTGCCTGTGAAATGCTTCTTGCTAAAAGACGGCTCAATTTGCAAAACGGCTTCCTCTTTTATAAGAACTTCCATTTAAGAAAAAAAAAAGGGAAAAAAAAAAGTTTGTGTTTGCCTTGAATGTGGAACTTCTGGTCTCAGTTTTGAAACAAGAATTTTATTTGGCACGTCATGCATCAACACTTGAAGAATTTTGATACTCACTAGTCAGAAGTTTGTACTTTCTAAAGATTTTGTTAAGTTTGGCCTTTTAAAAATTATCTCTGCAGCCCTTTTTTCTGTTCCTACTTAGTCTTTGAGTTTGACCTGCTCTAAGCAGGGATTTGGGCTAGATGACCTCCAGAGGTCCCTTCCAACCTGAATAATTCTGACTTGTGTATGCAGTGAATGTGAGTATTTAGCAGTTATTTGAATTTTGAGAGCAAGAGTTCTAAAGGGTAAGAATGGCAAAGAGCAATCAGCCTTGTAATAAACAAGACTTCTCCAGCTTGTTGATGAAATAATTAACTGGAGGCACAAAGCTTGATTTTTTTTTTTTTTTCAAAACTTGGTGATGTTAAAGGCTTCTTTGCATATGATGTGCCTGTGTATATAATTGCTTACTCTGTTCTCTTCCTCTAGTACTTCCAAATCTAACCACTACCATGAAGAGTGGGTAGTGATCCCATTTTCCATGCTCTTGCCTTGAGTGATTTGTGTGTCTGTTGGTACCTGTAACTTTGGAAGGCCAAGGAAGTGAAATTGATGTCAGTATTTAGTGCCCTGTTCACTTTCAAATCAGTTTCACCTTGGTCCCCTGACTTCAGTAGTTAAGGAAACTGATAGGAGGCTGATTTTTCACTTTACTTTGGTCAAGTTTGTGAAGTCAGTTAGAAAATAGCCGGTTGCCTACAGATTCCAGTGCTTTTAGGTGGATTTTCTGAATCTGGTTATATTTGGTTTGGAAGCTGGCAACTTGCCCAGGGAGTCTGCTTGCTGTGAAAAGGGATAAATGTAATATTTTCCCCAGTCTGTGTAAAACAATTTTTTATTTTTTTTTTTATCCTTTACCACATTTTACTGGCAAAGTAATTTACTGTTAAACCCAACTTTATGGCAATTTTATTTTTAAATAGATTTATATCTTTTGTGACTTCAATACAGTATCAAAAGGACTAAGGCTTTTGGCCATTGAGGGGGACTGCTGTGACTAAGTGCTTTGCAGGTATATTGTATCTTGCATCTTTATTGCTCAGTCAGGAGTTGTAACTATTTAGTGATTGGCTTGTGATTTCATATACTCAAGCATGTTCTTATTTTTGCAGAAGGTGATTATTCAGACTTAGCAAAGACTTAACCAAAGTGTAAAGGTTCCAGATGTCACCTTTGTGCTTCCATCTTGTTAGTGTCTAATAAGTATTACATACCTTTTAATGAATAATTTGAAAATAGGTTACAGAAAAGATTCCTGTTAAACACCTGTATACAAAAGACATTGACATACATGAAGTGCGAGTTGGCTGGTCACTGAACACAAGTGGGATGTTGCTTGGTAAGACTTAAACATTTGATTACTTTTGTCTTCTTTATTGTGTACACTGAAGTTTTAAGTATTTTTTTTCATAAACAGATGGGAAAAACTTAGTGATTTTACTTTGTGTGTTCTGAAAAGTGATCTTAACTTGAATCATTCACTGGACATGGTGTGAGAAAGTTTATTACTAGACAAAATAAAGTCGCTAAGTATTCAAGCCTGTAGTAAGGATTACATGATCTGAGAGTTAATTCTTCCAGTGGTCAAGTATGGGTTGTAGAGAACATTCCTGAAGACCTGACAAGATTAAGGATTTCATGTAGTGTGACAAATAGGAAGAGGGGGGTTGTTTTTTGCGTTTTTTAAGGGTGGGGCATGGTATAAGATTTAACCAGTAAATGAAAACTTGTAGATGACTACGTTATCATTATTTTGGCTTGGGAGGGGGATCCTCATTTCTGAAAGTAGCTACGAAGAAAGAAGTACAACTTCATTAGATAAATCGGAACTGATCATATATAACTCATACGTGCTGCTGAGGCACATCTTTGTGGGAAATGTACGTGAATTGGTATGTTCTGACAGCAGCAGCAGCTGTCTAGTTAAGTACTTAAGTTCCACCTGAGTCCTTGTGTTTAACACTTCTGTTAGATTGTTCCTTGCAGCTTCATCTTCAGCTGTCACATAGGCTGAATATCTGCTAAACTCCCCTTTAATATGGGGAGGGGTAAGTGCTACTGGAGACTAAATTCAGAAAGCCTTCCTGACTAACTGCGTTGCAGGTATACTGGAACATAATCAGGTCTTCAGGGTTTAAAAATACTTGGTCATGTCTTTATCTGGCAGTTCAGCTTTATGTCAGCCTGAATCATAAGGCTCTTAAAACTGGGATGGGGGAAACACTGCTGTTCTATCTCAAGTGAGAGTATTTCTGAATACAAGAACAAGCTGTAGCTGTTTGGGGGTCATAATTTGTTTTGGAGTTAATAAAAACATTCTGAACAGCAGCTTACTTAAGGAGATATAAAGTGTATTTCTGAAAAGTTGGGTGAAAATGTGTATTTTTAATAAGTTTAAATTATTTCTTCAGGTGAAGAAGAATTTTCTTACGGGTATTCTCTAAAAGGAATAAAGACATGCAATTGTGAGACTGAAGACTTTGGTGAGAAGTTTGATGAAAATGATGTGATTGGATGTTTTGCTGTAAGTTTTCAGTTGTATTTTCTTTTAAGGAAAAACATCCTTGAATTTTTAGACTGCTTTGATGTGAGAAACAGTAAACCAAATACAGAAAAAATTTGGAACAAGTTTTTTTAACCAAGGGAAGAGGTAGAAATAGCAGGTATTATAAAGAGTGACTGCGGTCAGCATGTTAAAATTTCATATTCATACACTAATGTCTTTAAAGCCTTTAAAAAAAAAAACCCAGATCTTAAATGGCATGATCATTGACAGTAACTCATTTTAAGAAAACTTCCAAGTACGTACTTTATGATACAGCAGTGTTCCAGAAGTTAATATAGCAAATACAGTGAAATGACTGATGTATAACTTTATAGAGCAAGGTGAGTAATTTTATGCAAACTAATGCTTTGTCTGAAAACCAGAATTTTGATGGTGATGAAGTGGAACTCTCATATTCCAAGAATGGACAAGAGCTTGGTGTTGCATTCAAAATAAGTAAGGAAGTTCTTGATGGGCGGCCACTCTTCCCACATGTTCTCTGCCATAACTGTGCAGTTGAGTTCAACTTTGGTCAGAAGGAGGAACCCTACTTCCCTGTACCTGAAGAATATACCTTCATCCAGAAGGTCCCCCTGGAAGATAGGGTCCGAGGACCAAAAGGACCTGAGCAAAAGAAAGATTGTGAGGTAAGCTTCTTGTTGATAATATCAAAGGTGTTGAGATAGGTGAACAGAAGTGGAGTTGAAGCAGACTATTATACTACTCAGACTTTTTTGTTTGAGGGCTTGGTATCCTCTGACTCTTCAGCTCCCACCCCGACACCCCTACACCCCCCACTGAGTTTCCATTAGGCTTGTGTCTAAGTTGTGTATTAAAGAAAATCTTTGAATGAGTATCTCAAGCGTAGAACCTGTCGTCATAGGTGGTGATGATGATTGGCTTGCCTGGAGCTGGCAAGACTACATGGGTTACCAAGCATGCAGCAGCAAATCCTGGGAAATATAACATTCTTGGGACAAATACTATTATGGACAAAATGATGGTAAGTGATAATATGATATTTTATTTGTTGGTATGTTAAAGACTTCTTGTAAATTCAAGGTCTTTGGCTGCCATGGGGTTCTTCTGTATCAAAGAAATCTAAGAAGCTGGCTACTGGTTAGCTAGTGACCATTAAAAGATTTTTATCTTGCTGAGCTGCTACTCATGGCACAGCAGGATTCTGAAGCTTTTTGTGGTGCTATATATAAGAAATAGTCAGCTGTTGTTGACTACTTTAAGTATTTCTTTGTCTCTTTGTGTCACTGTCCTTAGAATAGAATATTTAGGTTTGAATGAGTTACGTGATGAGTACACCTTAAATTCAGCTGTATTGATTCACCTAAATTTTTTGTTTATAAACCTGTGTGTCTTGTGGAGGCTTTGGGAATTGCAGTTATGAGTTTATAGCTGTGGTCTTGAATTGAACAATCAAGGTGAAAAGCATTTAGCGAAGAAAAAACATCAGCCATTGTCTGAGGGCTACTTTAACTCTGGGAAATCCTTCTGCAGGTTGCAGGTTTTAAGCGGCAGATGGCAGACACTGGAAAACTTAACACGCTGTTGCAGAGAGCTCCGCAGTGTCTTGGAAAGTTCATTGAGATTGCAGCTCGTAAGAAGCGGAATTTCATTTTGGATCAGGTAGAACCTTCACTGAAAAATGGTCAAGGAAATTTGTTATAGGCTGTAGTGCAGTAATTAAATGGGATTAAAGTTACTTGTAATAGTGGTTGTTTCACTTACTGATTTGCTAGCCATTCACGGGACACAAAGTTGAGATATTGCTACAAATGCTTGTCTGAACTTCTGGATTTATGGGATGTGGGAGGAATAGTGTTTTAACACGTGGATATGAGCTCGTAACTTTGCATTATTCAGCATCTTTATGTCCAGTTATTTGTAAACTTCATTGCAAGCTCTTGTAGAGGTGAAGTCTATACACCATAAGTTGACTTCCTTAACTCTTACAATGACAGCTACGTGTAGTAAGTTACTGCATTTTTTTCAGACAAATGTGTCTGCAGCTGCGCAGAGGAGAAAAATGTGCCTGTTTGCAGGCTTCCAGCGCAAAGCAGTTGTTGTTTGCCCAAAAGATGAAGACTACAAGCAAAGAACACAAAAGAAGGCAGAGGTGGAGGGAAAAGATCTTCCAGAGCATGCAGTTCTCAAAATGAAAGGCATGGAACATAATCCTATACTGTGTTTTAGGATGCTGAGTATCTGTTTAAAGGATTAAGTAAACGTGAAGTCTAAAAAAATCACTTTATCTTAAACAGTTGTATTTAAACAAAACTGGAAGACTATTGTAACTTGTAGGACAACACTATATTGTGTTCCCTCTGCTGCAGTCCTTAACACTACTCAGTTATGCTGATACGCTTCATGCAGATGCACAAAGCTGTCTTGGCATAAAGTGCCCTATATAAGTGACATATTTGGCAGAAACCGGTATTCTGAGTGGAGGCTTATAAAAGAAAAAAGATATAGGCAGAATGTTTTCAAGGTTTGGAACAGTGCTGGCAACTCCATGAAGACCTCTTTATTTCTTTTGTCACTCTTACATTTCTTAAATGCTCAAATTACGTAATTTTGTCCCTATGCTGAGGGAATGCAGGGGGTGGGAGGAAGAATGGGAGAAAGGTGGTAAAATGATGGCTTTGATTGCAGCTGAATGTAGATGCTGAATACTCAGTGTTTTTGCAATTGTAGGGAACTTCACACTGCCAGAGGTAGCAGAATGTTTTGATGAAATAATCTATGTAGAGTTGCAAAAAGAAGAAGCTCAAAAGCTTTTGGAACAATATAAAGAAGAAAGTAAGAAATCTCTTCCACCGGAAAAGAAACAGAACACTGGTTCGAAGAAGAACAAGAAGAGCAATAAAAATCAATTTAATAGGGGTCAGAGAGGTCGTGGAGGATTCAATATGCGGGGCAACTTCAGAGGAGGAGGTGAGCCCAGAAATAAGCCTGTAAATTCTGGAGGTTGCTTTTGCTGGGACGGAAAAAGTTTGTAGTACTTGGATTGCAATTAGTATGTAGTAGGAACCTTGATTTCAGCTTCATTAGGTTTAATGGATTAGTGCAAAGTTAGTTGTCCAGCTTGAAAAGTTAGGCTTGCCAAAATGCTGAATTAAACTATTCTTATGGTTTGAGGTGCAGCTTTTGACTTTTTATGTTAGGTTTGGTGTTTGTAAACCAGACCATACTGAGGGGGTGGGTAGTGCATGGTTAAATCACCACTTTTTGCTGTGACCAGATGACTTAATCTTTGCATTGAAATTTTTGCACGGAATTCAGACATCTTATTTCTGTACCATTGTTATTTTGAACAGTAATCTTGATGTAAGAGATAAGTACTTGAGACAAAGCAATTACTTGATTGAAGTAACTCTCTCCCTGCAGTCCCTGGCAATCGTGGTGGATACAACAGGAGGGGAGGCAACATGCCTCAGCGAGGTGGTGGAGGTGGTGGTGGTGGCGGTGGCAGCAGTGGTGCAATTGGCTACCCGTATCCTCGTGGCCCTGTCTTTCCCAGCAGAGGTGGATACTCAAACAGAGGAAACTATAACAGAGGTGGAATGCCCAACAGGGGAAACTACAACCAGGTGATGCTTTTGGGGGGATTTATTAGTTAAACTACAGTACTTTGGATGACGTTTGAAAGGTTGGTGGCTGTCAGGAGCCACAAACTGGGATGTGGTACTACAGTAATCCGGCCTAGCTTTCTAGTTTAGTGTAGGTGCCCCGGGCTCTCGTGCATAAGAACTTCTGATCGTGATGTGGGGCTTCCATGTTGAGACCATACCTCTGTCCTGTTACAGATTAAGATGTTCAGGGCATGTGTGTGTGAAGGCTTGTGTTTGATTTTTCTTTTAATTTTTTTCTTACAAGCAGTAGTAACTGTTGTTTGGCCTTAGGTTCAAGGTGTATCTTCATCAAGTATTTAGGCAGCTTTCTGGAAATAGCTCCGGAGAGAGTCTTTAGTTCGATGTCTGGTATTAAACACAACTAGTAAAGACATACTAGCATAACTTTTAACTGATGGAATACCAGTGGAAGTATTTGAAAACATAATTTAGATTACTGAAGAGCCAGCAGATGGAGCTCAAGCTAGTAAACATGGCTCAGGGTTGTCTAAAATGGACAAACAGGGGAAATGCAATATTTTATCTACTGGTATGAGTGTCACTTTTTTGTACCATAACTTTTATTTGAAGTTTTGTGGACCAGCTCTTCTATTTTCAGTTGTATGACCCATATCCTTTTGTCAGATCAGATAACACATCCTTGTAGCAACTACAGCTTTTCCTAACTAAAAATAGGCAAGCTCTTGTATTTTTAGTTGTCCTGGTGCAGTTTAGCAGCTGGAAATGGGGTGAGTCAAAACTGGATTATCCAGCTTTCCAGACCACTGGCAACAACAGTTTGAGCTGCTTTATTAATTCTGAGGTTCTTGCCCCATGTTTAAGAAGCATTTGCTTGGAGGGGGAGGCTTTTGGTATTCTAGTGTTTATCAGGGAGGTTTTTTGTTTGGTTGGGGTTTTTTTAACCTAGATCTCATAGCTTGTATTTGAAAGATTCTGTACGATATGTGATGTTTTGGTGGTAATAGAAAGATTGATATTGGTACACTTCTGAAAAATCCATTTAGATGAAGTACTTGAAAACTGTTGTTCTCTTGCAGAACTTCAGAGGAAGGGGAAATAATCGTGGCTACAAAAACCAATCTCAGGGCTACAACCAGTGGCAGCAGGGTGTAAGTAGTAATAACTTTTACCTTTTCACTGATTGTTAACGTGAATGCTTCAAAATGCTGTCTGAAATAATTAGTTGTGTAGTCAAAACTGGATAGCAAAATCTTTTAATGGTGGGTGATATCGCTATAAATAGTTTTCTGTGCAAAACTTAATCTGGCTTGATGGTCTTAATATATCGCATATCAGCTATGGCTTATTGGCCTTAATGGTATGCAGTATTTGGCTTCACATTACTACTGTGAAGTGAACTTAACTGCCTACAGTTGTTGAGGAACTTGCTGCTATTTGGAAGGACTCTAATCTTCTTAAGTTCTGGGAGAACTAGATGCTTGTTAAACACTTCTGGTTTTTTCCTTGTGAGAAATGGAACCATTATGTGATTACAGCTTAAAATTAACTATTTCTCCATTTATTGCAGCAATTCTGGGGTCAGAAGCCATGGAGTCAGCATTATCACCAAGGATATTATTGAATACCCAAATAAATGAACTGATACATATTTCTCCAAAACCTTCACAAGAAGTCGACTGTTTTCTTTAGTAGGCTAACTTTTTAAACATTCCACAAGAGGAAGTGCCTGCGGGTTCCTTTTTTAGAAGCTTTGTGGGTTGATTTTTTTTCTTTTCTTTTTTTGTACATTTTTAATTGCAGTTTTAAAGTGATTCGTAAGAGAACCTCAGCATTGTGCACGATAAGAGAATGTGTCAGTATTTCAGGGTTCTACATTTTATCTGTAAAATGTGACTTTTTTTTTACCACAACAAAAGTAAAACGTTGCTTTGTACCTGGTGTCTTTTTATTAAAGAATTTTCTCCTTTTTCCCCATCCCCCAATTTCTAAGAAACAGTCGTGAGTCATGTCACAATACGATAGAAATGTTAGCAACCAGATTCGTACAGAGGCTCCTCAGTAGCCCTCATGAACACCATGAGATCATGTAAAGCTCCATATTACACTCCATCCTCTCTATGAAGCTTCTGGGTGGGGAGGGGTGGAGGGGGAGGTAAAAGTTTCTGGCAATAACTAGGACTTTTTGTAACATTTGGAACTCAATAAGATGTTGGGGGCAAAGAGGAAACCTGGGGCTAAATAGTGAAGGTGGAGTGTATGTAGAAGCTCTTAAAGTTGTAAAACTTGGTTGCATTATTTGTGGAGGCTCAAACTTGTGAAGGTACAACACCATAATTTCTTTTCCATTTGTTCTGCATTTTGATTCTGAAAAGAAGCTGGCTTTGCCCATTTCTTATTAAACAAAACTTGTTGTAAATCCAGTTGTCTAATGGGATCTATATGAAGTTAGCTGTGTGTCTGTATAACTTTTTCCCCACAAAATACTGTATACCTAGTGTGCTTGTAGTAGTTACTCCACCATTTTGTAAGCTAATGAAACTGTGAGTCACCCATTTTATATCTAATTTTTAATCATGTCAATTCTCAAATGGGTGTATCTCCTTAGCCTGCTGATTCCTTTTCTCTTTAAAGAAAGTGGGTGGAGAAATCTAACTCTAGACATTTGTTTGCAATAAAATAAACTCATTTTACTCTTGTTTTGGGATTGTTGCCATCAAGGTCTAAAATCCCTTTAAGGCTATAAAGAGGAAGAGAATGTACGAAAGCGGTGATGTTGGACAGTTTTAAACTCATTACTGTGTACATGCTGAAATACTTGTGTTTCTTTAAAAATCTAAACTGGTGGTTGCTCTGTTAGAGATATATCACATGTGTAATCTCACAGTTTAACATGGTTTTATGTATAGGGCAAAAGTTGGCTTGCATCATGTAAATCCACATAACCTATTTATTGTAAACTAGATGTGAGGGAAGGAGCTGGGGAAGCAACTGGGCAGGGAGTAGGACAGGAGGAGGGTTGTCATGGAGAATGAATCCTGGAGTTGAACAGAGCGCCTCAATTTGGTTTAACCTCTATTCTGTTTAGATTTATGCTTTTGTAAAATGGTAGTGGCAATGTTAGCTAATAATTTTCTTGCATTTTAATGCTGTGAGACAAGGGAGAGACGTAATGTTGTAAGTCAGACTTGTGGTACACATGTGAAAACACATGTCCCTGCTGGCACCTGGGTGTTGGGTTTGCCTGCCGAATTCCTGGCGGCAGCGTACGGACTGGCAGAGGCTTTACTGGCAGCAGCCTAGCGCTGGAGTCAGTGTAGAGTGCTTGAGGCTTTTCTCAGATGTTAGTTGACTACTGATAGTCTTCAGAAGTTTAAAGTTGTGTTGCTCTTCTAGCCTTTATAGCAGATGACATTGCATATTGACATTAAACATTAACAGCACCACCTCCTTGTTAATATTGCTTTAAATCATCCCTTTACTTTGAATGAGAAAAATGTAAAGTGTCTTTAAAGAAACACTATTTAATGAACTAGAAATATGGGGAATCAAAACCCAAATCTGTTTTGCTGAAATGGAATTTTCTTTAGACTTGCAAAAAAAGTTTAGTGTAATTAAAGTCCATCTCCTTTCTACCCTCCTCACCAGAACTAATGCTTTGTATGGAGTGCTGATCCTTTGCTTATTTTGGTACTCTATAAAATTATATAGTCTTAAACTGAAATATAAGAACCTACACTTACTATGTGGTTGTAAAGCTTGTATTTTAATTCAAAAGTCTGGGATGTTAATTTTCAGGTCTTTCATGTATGGTGGGGTTTTTTTAAAAAAGCTACACACAAGAGGAAGTGCTTTAACTATCTTACACTTGAAAGAGGAGTATGTTTCTACCAAAACTACTCTGATGTGGAAAAACCTGTTCCATGAGTTCAGCAATATATGTGCTTCCTGTGTTCTGAGGTATAGAATTCAAAAAAGCTTTGCCATAAGTGCTGCCAAGGCCTGGGTGGTGGTTCGGAAAGGGATGAAGTCTGACTCTCTCTCACAGTAGAGCAGAGACCAGCACTCGCAAGAGGCTTTGTTAGTTCAGCCAGGGTCTGCCTGCCCCCAAAGGCGAGACGCTCCCTCAGTTTATCTCAGCTCAGATTACTGTTAGAGGAGGGGTTTGGTTTGCCATGTGAAACTGGCTTGTATAGAACAGCCATTACCTCGAAAACCAATAATATTAACACATGTTTGCAGTTTGTTTAAAAAGGGCACTAGAAAACTGAGCTGATGGCTACAGAAACATGAGGAAGGCACAGCTGTATGGTGCCAGTGAGAGGGCTGAGCCATCTGTCATGCCGAGTGACTTCTTGATTACGTGAGGAAAAGCACCTGTATGACAGCAGCCCCACTGCTGGCACTGGTGGTGCAGCTGCTAGTGACATGGAACGTGGGGTTTGGGTTTGTTTGGCTTTTTCTCAAAGTGGGTTTGCTTTTTTCTAATTGAGGGGTTGTTTTGGGGGGGTGGGGGGTGGTTTTTTGTTGTGGGTTGTTTTTTGGTGTTTTTTTTTTTTTTTCTGAGTACAAGCCTGGAGAGCCTTGGACCTGATTCAGCAGCTGTCTGCGCAGCTACAAGCAGCAGTAGCAGTAGTGTTGCTGCTGGTGGCACTCCTTGCAGCTCTGTCTGCTGAAGCTGCTTACATCTCATCTTGCAACAGGTTGTAGCCACCCTGCTATGTGATGGGGCCATGTGTGGTTGGCTGAAGATGGGTCTGTGCTGGATAGCACAGGAGGAAGTTCCCACTTAAAAAAGCCTCCAGTTATATTTCTGCATTTGCTAGTAACAGTTGCTGGGATACATACAGAGTAAATGGAGGTGCCTCCCTGATGCACCGTGGTGTTGGCCAGGGGCTGTGTCCTGGGTGCTCCGAGGGTACGTGGACTCTTGCCTGTGGGACATCAAGGCCTGGCTTTTGTTCTGGGACACCTTATAAGATGCCTCTCCCCAAACCCCAGCTCTGCTGTCATGAGCTGGCCCTTGAGTGTGCTGCATGGCTTGTGTGCTGCATGGGGAGTACTCGGCAATGCTGTCCCCTCTGTGTGTGTGTGTGTGTGTGTAGGAGCTCAAGGTAAGCAGCACCTGCGCCCAAGTTCTTTTCGGTGCCTGTTGCAGAATAATTCTTGATCAACAAAGACGTTTTTAGAAATTCTGCCCAACTTTTCTGATAGCAGCATGAATCAAACCAGCGTTCTGGCAATGCCGTGTGCAGTCCATGCCACTTGCATAAAAAAAACATTTCTTCATGGTGTAAGTTGTTTTTAATCTCTTACAACACTCCTGACCAATATTTTTAATAGAAATAGGTGATGAAATAATTTTTTTAAGATTTGGAGGTTTCCTTGTTCGTGACCTTTTTTCTAAAACTAGGCCAGTGCTTTCTAAAAGTGCAGCCTCAGACTAAGCCACAAGAAATCAAACTGAGTTATGGGGAGAGATGAGTGACTTCAATACTTCTGCAGATTTTTAACTGCTAGAGGTTGGGCTCTCCCAGGCAAAGTGTGCATATGGTTGTGAACTAGTAAGGTAGGAGTAAGTATGGCTGGGGCCATCTCAGCGCTGTGGAGGATGGGAATTGCTCCAGGACGTCAGAAAAAGCCGCTGAGAGGAAATTCAGAAGAGCAGCTCTGTAACTCCGGTGTTAACAAACCGGCAGTGGTGAAGTGAGAGCAGAGCCTCTCTCTGACGTGCACAGCTCACCTCGTCTTAGGCAAAGCCACCCGTGTAGCTGGAGGGAGGAAGGAGGCCTCTCTCTCTATTTTAATAGCAGATTAGCGATTAGGTTTGTGCAGCTTCTCTCCTTTGCTCGGCGAGGGAGGCGCGAGCTGTCTCCGGCAGTGCAGCAGGCCTCTCCAGAGCCTCGCCATTGCAGGGAATCGGCTGACAGCGGGACTTGGCCAGTAATTAATCTGGACGTGACTCTTGCCTTAGCTTGTCTTGCTGCCAGCACTGGAGGCGGCAGGAAGATTCCGCAATGAATCAGTTGCTATGTAAACTCAGCTGTAGCTTAAAAAAAAAGATGCTTAATACTTAACATTGTCAACCTTAAAAGAGAAAAAACAAAAGCAAGTGTAAAAAACCCTAGTAATATAACTTCTCATGCAGGTGACTGGATATACAAGTGTTACCTTAGAGCAAGTTTTTTGTTGTCCATTCTGGTTTAGTAGACAAATCTTTGAACTGCAGAGTAATTTTGGTCCTAGAAGTTACTGAAATCAAATTTTGAAATAGCTCAGACAATTTTTCCCTCAAACTTTTTCATGCTCAAAAAATTTTTACGACTCGGTAGTCAAGGGCAGATGCAATTTACACTAATGATTTGGGGATATGCTGCCTGGTTAGCACGGAAAGATTGAAAAGGTAGTCATTTTTCTCAGTGTTAATTCATTCTCCTTTTGCTTGGATCAGATGGCTGCTTATTAGGACACCTCTGATAACTAATGTGGCATAAAAATGCAAGTATGTGTTTCCCGGTCTGAGCGTGGCCGTTGTTTATGTCAGATTTGCCTATGTTAACTCTTCTGCCACTCTGCTCTGGAGGATTTTCCCTCAAGTTCTAACAAAAACTTGTTTGCCTTAGACAAGGAGAGTCTGTGCTGGCAAGGAGCACGAGTGATAAAGCACGAGTTCTGAAATGGTGCTGATGCCCAAGAGGGTTGCAAAATAAAAAGGCCCAGAATAGTACTGAAGATCTCCCTGGACGTAAACGCATGCTTAAAATACCAGTGGTTGTTTACAAGGTGAGAGACAGGCAAAAGGCTCGATTCTCTTTTTTTAGTCTCCATGTCACCTATTCAGACGCAGGCCAGAGCTATGTTTGGGCACTGCTGAACTTTCAACTTTGTGGGGCTGTTGAACAAGTATGTAAGATAAGCCCTTGTATTATAAAAGGACTTTTGTCTTTGTGGTAAGAAGGTAGTAAGAGATGGGAGAGAGGAAATGAGTAAGCCTTGGAGGGATTTACTGTAACATTTTTTTATGGAAGAAATGATGCTTGGGGTTTGCTCACATCATGCTGAGAAACAAGATTCAGAAACAGTTGAGCTAGCAGCGTAGGCGAGTCCACATGCAGCATCGCATGCCAGTTTTGACCAGCAGAGCTACGTACCCAAAGCCTGGCACCTCTGCATTGTGCACACTCTGTCTTCTCTGCTTGGGGGTCCCTGCTGCTGTTGGAGCATCTGGGGTGCTCTGGGGCCTCCAGCCCAGCCTGGGAGCACTGCATGGAGGGAATGAATTCCTGAAAGCAAAACAGAATGCTGTTGTGTGGATGGTCCTCTACACCACATTGGGCTTTATCTGCCTTGGGTTTTGCAGATTCTCTGTCTCTTGGTAGGTCACAGAATCACAGAAATGCTGTTTGCAAGGCCCTCTGGAAATGTAGTCCAGGACTGGCACTAGCACTCAGGTCAGCCAGCGCTTTGTCAAGCTGAAGCTTGAAAACCTGCAAGGGTGGAAATTACATGACCTCTCTGGGCAACCTCTTCCAGTGCTGCACTGCCCTCGCAGTAAAACAGTCTGTCCTGCTGCCTGGCCAGAAGCTCCCAAGCTAGAGTTTGTGGCCATTGCCCCTGCTGCATCATCGGCAACTACCAAGAGGTATTTGGCTCCATCTTCATAACTGTCCTGCAGATAATATTAGGCAGTTATGAGGTCACCCCACAGCCTGTTCCTCCTCAGACTAAGTCCAGCTCCTTCCACTGTTTTTCCAGAGGGCATGCGCTTGAGGTCCCTGAACACCATAGGAGCCCTTCACTGGAGCCTCTACGTTTTTTAGACATCCTTGGTGACTGAGAGGCCTAAAGCTGGACAGCAA